TATCCATTACTTCAAACTTCAAACATTTGTTTCTTTGTGTTAGGTGAATTCAAATCCTCTTGTCAAGCTATCTTTTTTTTTTCTTTTCTTTCTTTTTTTTTTTTTAAAGAGAGTTTTTTTGCTAAAAGGTGCCTGTGCTTGCTGGAGAGACAGAGACAGAAAGCGAGAAATCACCCCTGGGGGGAAGACCACTCTGCAATCTCCTCGCCTCCATTCTCCTCTCAAGATCTTGGGCACACTCGTTCACGTGCCTAACACGAGTTTAAGCTGCGAGATCCGGGACTCAAACCGCAGTAGACTACGTGGGACTCCAGCAACATAACCATTATACCATCTGCTTGTCCCTCTTTGAGCTATCTTGGAGTATACAATAAATTATTACCCACCCTGCTGTGCTATAGCACTCTATAATTTACTCTAATTGTAATTTCGTATTCATTAATCAATACCTCCTACCACTCCCCACAACTATTTTTCCTAGCCTTTGGGAACTACTATGCTACTTGTCACTTATAGTGAAATCAAGTTTTTAAATTTTTATTTATTTTTAACGAATTATTTACTTTGTTATTATTTTTATTTGACCAGAGAGAGAGAGAGAGAAAGGGGAAGTGAGAAAGTAAGCTGCTGGTCTGGGACTTGAACCATGGTCGACCACGTGGGATTACAACAACTTAACACTGTGCCACCTGCTAGCCCTGAGATCAATTTTTTTTAGCATCCACAAGTGAAAACGTGACAACTCATCTTGATTACTATAGCCTTATACAGCAAAGCTATATACTTATACATAGTGCAAGTTCTCCAATTCTTTTTACTTTTTCAAAAATCTTGTGGCTATTCAGGTCATCTCCATTTATAAATAAATTTTATAATCAGCCCGTCTACAAAAATAATTGCCAGAATCTTGATTGGAATTGCACTGTTAAAGGCTCAACTTAGTGGTAACTCACATTTACAAAATTCGTTTAGTAAAGTAAAATTTACATTTACAAAATTAAGTCTTCCAATCCACTATTATAGGTGTACCTCTCCACTTCCACTTTATTAATCTCTGAGCATGTTCTGCAGTTTTCCTTGGCTAGGTCTTGTACAAATTTTATTTGTCTCTATTTATATCACATTAATATTATTGTAAATTTTAATCTCTAATTATTAGTAGTTAGCATGTAGAAATAAAATTGAGTTTCGGATCAGATATTATCTTGCTAAGTTCATTTGTTAATTCTAGTACCATTTTCCATTTTTTTTTTTAGGATTTTCAACATGCATCTCTGCAAAGTTGTCTTACAACGTGCATGCTTTTTCTTGCCTTATTTCACATTTTTAAAAAAATTTCTAGTACAATGCTGAATAAAAATGGAGACAGCGGGCATCTCTGCCTTTTCTCAAGTCTTACAAGGGTACAAACCCTGATAAACACTAATTAATGCATTTATAAGAGGCTTTTGCTATAGGGCACGTGTGCTTGCTGGAGAGATGAGACAGTGAGAAGGAGAGTGAGAGATCACTCCCCAGTGGGGATGGCCACACCACAATCCCTTCTCCTCCTGGCATCTTGGGCACCCAGGCACATGCACCTGGCATGATTTTCAAGTCACTGAGTCCAGTACTCAAACCATAGTTGGCATGTAAGGGTCCAGCAATGTAACCACTATGCCATCTGCTGGCTCCCACTAAATGTACTTTTCCATGAATACCTTTCATCAGGCTAAGCAAGTTCTCTTTTAGTTTGCTAAAGTTTTATCACAAATGACCGTTGAGTCTTATCATATACTTTGTAACTGTTGAAATGATCCTGTCTGTACTTTGCTATCTGGCAAACTGTACTGATTTAAAAATATTTTATAGTAATTCCTTTCCTTAAAAGAAGACATTGTGGTAAAACATAGGTAAAATTTATTGTATCAGCCATAGTTAGGTACAGTCGTCTTTTTTTTTTTTTTTTTAATAAAAAAAGGTTTTTGCCTTGGGAACCAGCAGTTAGTGTAATGGCTATGTCGCTGGACTCCCACGTAGTCGACCGTGGTTCGCGTCTCGGACCCGGTGGCTTAAAACTCAGGCCAGGCGCGTGTGCGTGCGTGCCCAACATCCCGAGAGGAGAATGGAGAAGGGATTGCGGCGTGACCATCCCCCCTGGAGAGTGATTTCTTGCTTCTTGCTGTCTCTCTGTCTCTGTCTGGCGAGCGCACACGCCCTATAGCGAAAACCTCTCAAAAAAAAAAAAAAAGGTTTTTTGCCTTAAGGTACATACACTAGCTAGAGACAGACAGAAACAGAGAGAGGAAAAGTGAGAAATCATCCCCCGAGGAGAGGGCCATGCTGCAATCCCTTCTCCATTCTCCTCCTGGGATCTTGGGCATGCACACATACGTCCGGTGTGATTTCAAAGCCACTGGGTCCCTGGACCCAGCCATGTGGGAGTCCAGCGATGTAACTGCTACGCCATCTGCTGGCCCCAAGGACAGTTCAGTCTTAAGTACATTCATTGTTGTGGAACCAATCTGCAAGCTTTTTTTTTTTTTTTTTTTTTGGAAAAAAAAAAACTCTAGGGCCCGGACGTTGGCGGCTCTAGGGACCAGCAGTTAGCGTAATGGCTATGTCGCTGGACTCCCATGTAGTCGACCGCGTTCAAGTCCTGGACCCGGTAGCTTAAATTCATGCTGGGCGCGTGTGCATGCATGCCCAAGATCCCGAGAGAATGGAGAAGGGGTTGTGGCATGGCCATCCCCCCTGGGGGGGGTGATTTCTCGCTTTCTGTCTCTCTGTCTCTCTGTCTTTCTGGAGAGCATACGCGCCCTATAGCAAAAACCTCTCTAGAAAAAGAAGAAAAAACAAAGAAACTCTATGTCCATTTTCTCCCTGCTACCAATGATTTATCTTACAAATGTTTGCTTGTGGAAAATCTGAAATATAAAAGTGGACCTTCACTACAAAAAGTTTTTTTAAAGCAGTGTTCTAGAACAGTCTATTTTTTGTAAAATGCTTTAATATATTTTTTGACTATTTTCCCCTATTTTTTATACATTCTGACATTTATACTTTTTTAAGTTCTCTGGTTCTTTATTTACACTTACTCATTTTCTTTTTTATTTTAAGTAATTCTTTCATTTAATTTTATTTATTAATTTAAATTTGGGTCAGAGAGAAAGAGAGAGCCAAAGTGAGAAGGCAAGCTGACAGATCTGGGACTCTGACCACGGTTGGCCACGTGGGAGGCCAGCGCCCTTAACCACAGCGCCACCTGCTGGCCCCGTAAAAAGCCTCTTTAGGGCCAGCATGGTGGTGGTCAGAAGGGAACTGAACTGCAGTGCTGAAAGCCACATGGTTGACATGGGTTCTAATGCCTTGGTCCATGTGAAAACATGCTAGGCACGTGTGTGTGGCCCAATATCCTGAAAAGCTGATATGAGGAAATCAGGGTACTTTTTTCTCTTTTTCTTGTGCATGTGCATAGGCTATTATAAATAAGAAATTTAAAATGCATTTTAACATTACTTTACTTATTAATTAAACTTTAAAGGCCACACACACACACACACACACCACACACATTCACAAATTAGTCTTGGGAGAGCATATATACCTTACTAGTATCTTACCTGATGATTTTCATCATTTCAAACTAGAAAAAATTATAGACTGCCTCTTTTAGATGCAATTTATCCCACTTGTACTTAATATTCGGTTGTTGGGAAAGTCAGGATGCATAGAAAACAGGAAAATGTGTTATGATTTTTCCAGCAATCTAATATTTTATTTAAGTATGTCAGTCAAAGTTTCATTATTGCTTGACCACAAAAAAAGGGCACAAACTAAGTCAGCCAACAGCATGGTGTTTAAGGCAAATGGATCCTACATGGCTGGGTGTGCAGTTCAAGTCTTAGACCTGGTGGCTTAAGAAAAATGCCAGAAATGTTTGGCCAAAATTGTGCTTTCTCACTGTTTCCTCTCCAGTGAGTGCATGTACCTTAGCAAAATTACTACCCCCTCAAAAAAAACTATGGGTCAACTTCAAAAATTCTGCACCAAAACAAACTCATACTTTAATTCTACTTTTCACTAATTTGTGGAAGTACCCTGGTATGCAGAAATCATATGTACAATATATTAGAAGTGAACTTTCACATTTTCATTAACCAAATATTCTAGGAATTTGAGAATTTTTTTTCAGAAAAAAAAACTTAAACAACACAGAACCATTCTATATAATAGTTTTATTTTTCTCATTTTACTATTTTTACATTTTATGCACAAATATTATTTATCTGAGTAAAAATAGAAAATAACTGTTTTATGTAAAATTACAAAAAAAATAAAAACCACAAAGAAATACATAATTGTTATTGTGACAGTATAAGTGTCTTTATTTAAAGAGTAAAAATGTATGCAAAAATCCTCATCCCTTTTACAAAAGATTGAGAATATTTTTTTCCTGGCTGCAAGTGAAATATTGAAGTATCAATAACTTTACACCCTTCAGATCTGAAGACATTATGTTAGTCATAGGTTTATTTTGCAATTATGAATTTTAAAACATTTTTGTGCTATTTCAAAGATATACTAGTTCTTTTTAAAAGGCAGTAGCATAAAATGATGAATATGGAAAACAGCAGACCTCACCAAAAATATCTGGCAGCAAAATCCTTAAAAAAAAAATATCATACTTGAGTATCACCATCAACCATGGGAGAAAACAACTTAAATAATTTTTCCTAATTAACTGACATGGATTGATAAAAAAATGAGTGTGTGGTCAGTCAGTTCACAGGAGAACCAACTACACATAGCAATTCTGCCCAATTTGTTTGATTTTTTTGATGCCAACACAAATTTTTAAGAATTCAGGCTAGCAAGATATAGATAAAAGTTGACTCAAAGAAAAGCTCACATGGAAAACAAGTTTTAAAACAAAAGTGAACATTTCATAATTCCTGTACTTACAGGGTACAAAAGACAACTAATAATTTTATGTCTTCCTTCGAATATATTCTAATTTCTATTAAAAAAAAAAACAGAGCAAAGGCTGAATAGTATGCATTATATATTTTCTTTAGTGACACAAATTACCTTTTAGTGGAAGAAGACTATCTGGCTTCCTTATAACCGTACCCTCAACAAGGACAGTACAAATATTTTATATATGTTTAGACAAAGTAATGAAAGTTTCTTGAATCAACTGGAAATATTAGTCATATTACTTCACTTATATGATAGTGCATAAAATGATGGGAAAGAGAAATGAAGATATTAAAAAAAATAAAGCATTTGATCATGTATGAGAGCTGTGTTCAAATGATGAAAAGTAAAATAAAAACTTGTAAAAGAAGAAAACAGATTTGGGAATGCTTCAAAAAGCAAAGAAACAATAGTACTGATTTTGGGGATCTGCAAGAAATGTGAGTGGTTCCTTGCCTTAAAAACAATACATATAATCAAGACATAAGGAAAAGTGGGTTATCTTGGCTAAAGCTGTAACATAATGTCTCCCCGGAAGCATTTTAAATCTGAAAGTAGAGTCTTAAAACTGTGGTAATGTTCTGGAAAAGTATACTTGATTATCTTTTAAAAACTGTAAGCAACTGTCAATTCCCTAGGCTGAAAGAGGATGGTACAAAGCCTCCTTTAACTATAAACTTGTTATCTGAAGCTAGAGCATCTATGTATTATTGCATATTGTTATTCCACTCAGATATTTTTACAATCACAGTGCCAAAATTGTCACTAACAATATTTTGTCACTGTGCTCTGTTCACTAAAAAAATGAAAAGAAGTTATGAATGTTACTCTTTTTGGGTACCTACTGGAGAATCTTAAAGGGTTTAATACAATTAATATAAATGAACTGACAGTACATGTTGAAGTCATAAAGCATACTTAGAAGTATGATTTAAGTTTAACAGGAAAGGAGATCAGAGATCGCTGCTCTCTCCTCTTTGTAAGACCCCTGCCCTGTAATTCATCCCAAACCACTATGTAGTACTGGGAGTGGCACTGCCAAGTGTCCCCTTCCTATATTACCACGGCCCTTTCCCCCTAGTTAGACAAAGTGTTAACTAGTTCTTATAAAGCTGTTTTAAGTGATGAGGGAGAAGGTGTACAAGTCTGAGAATATATATTCTCAAATATGAGAGGATTAAAAACTATCTGCCAGTCTCTCATATCATGATTTGTGTATAATACCTTGAAACAAACAAAAAGGAAGAAAAAAAGACAATTCTAGTCATTTCTATTTAATGCTAGCTCATGGTAAGGAATTTCATATATATAAGAATTAATTTTAGCTTTTTAAATGAGTTATTTAATCATTTTCCTTTTAATATTTCTATACCTTCATATCTATGTATATGTGCATATATATATAAAAAGAGGTCAGCTGGACATGTATATAGGTATTCATATACATATACACACATATAATATTCAAATGGAAAAAAATGAAAGGGTTAGTTGTGTTTTAAAGAGAAGACTGCCTATAATGGAGGTCGAAACATTTTTTTAAAGCTATCTGCAAGTAATTTACTACTGTCTGGAAAGGTAAAGTACTGCTGACTTAGACTTCCTCAGAAACAGGAATATATATAAGCTGTTTTGCATTACAAACCGGCTCCATAGGGTAATTTAAGAAAGAAAAGAAAAGAAAAGAAAGTCATACCGAACCAAAACAAACTTTTATTTTCTGGCTGAGGTATACCTTTTTCAGTTTTTTTAAATCTCTGACAGTAAAAAACAGAGATCCATCTCAGAATTTCTGTAATAGCTGGTTTATTAGAATTAAATGCCTCTCTCAAAATAATTTAAATTCTTGGCCTGACATTATGAAAATCCTTAAAACTGGCTTGATTTAAGCCAGATTTAGACCTGGATGTCCTCCTTCAGCACACACTGCTCTTTTGCCAAGCCAACTTATCATCTTTTGCTTGCAAATATATAAATTATTTTAATAACCTGATACCCTTAGTTTAGTAATTTCTTAGTATTATAATTTTATTTGCTATGAACATTTTAGCTCTGCTTGATTAGATGAAACAGGCACACATGCTTTAGCTAAGAAATCCCATTTCTGGATCTATGTAAAGCAACATCTAAAGCAGCAGAGAAGTAAAACAGTTGTATTTTCAAAAATAGTTAAGCCAGACTGTTTCCTGGAGACACTTCATTTATTTTTCATCTTCAGATGCTACTGGCTATTTTTGGTAGGGCTAGACATTAATACTGACCAGTTTAGCTTTCCTGACTGTTAACAAAGTATCCCACAATGAACCTGCCTCAAGTTGCAGACACTGTGGTGATCTTTTGACATACATATTCTAAAATATATGCTTCAAAGTAAAAAGATCCAAATTCACAAGAGTATGAAATATTTATAAAAAAATCATGCATCAGATTGTACAGTCTAGAAATAAAAGGAGATTCAAATTCAGTAATAAAGGTAAGAGCAGTATTTGCTCTAAATATTTAAGAAAGACCTTGGACTCCCAGAAGGTCCTGAGGCTCAATTATCCTTTTCTGTCTGCAGAGAAGCAGTGGCCAGGGCTACTGCTGTGACGGGCTGGGCAATTCCATGGAGTTGCATCTTTGCAAGTTTCTTCTGTTCACATTCTGTAACCAAACGGTTCAACTCTGCTGCACTGTATCCAATCAGAGTCTTCAAGTCACAGACAAACTTATACACAAATCTCTTGCCTTGAACTTTACAAATCATGTCCCCATCATAATAATACCTTTAAAAAGAGAAAAACACTTTAAGATTACATAAAAAATAAAGAATTCAGACTTCTTACAATGCTTCACAGACTTTTCCTTAAGAGGAAGCCTGGTAGTATACTGACCAACCCCAATGGCAATTAGCACTGAAGTTAATAGAGGATATTTCATGTTATTACCCAAGGAAACTTCAAAACATTACTAAAATTTCAATGCTCAGGATTCTAAAATCTTATATGCTAAACTTTCCAAGTACCTTTGGCTTACTTGAGAGTGCATTAATGAAAAGACCTATACACAGGAATGTGTGTCATGTTTTCCCTAATTACAGAACAACAAAAAGTATAATAGTTATGTTTGACTCCCCAGAAAGAGAGAATGCACTGGGCAGTCTTGTATTTTCTGTTGTGTCAATCACATTAATTCTGAATTTGAACTCCTGCCCATAAACCACCAGTTGCTTGTCATCCAGTTCAAAATGCTGGAGGCATTTCAATTTCTGAAGAAAATCTCCACACCAACATATAAGGCTGACACAAACAGGCACTTAGGAAAAAGGGAAATTGGTTTTCTATTTCTAGGAGGAAAATGTAATTGGTATAATGTTATGTTTCTTGGTAAGAGATGATAGGAAAGAATATACACACACATTTTAATTTTATTGAATACTTGCTTTGATCTAGCAGATGCACCACAGAATGGTATACAATAGCACTCAATGCATTTGTTTCCTCCCTAAAATGAAGACAGGAGAAAGGTATGCAGTACCTGTATTTTCATGGATATGATTTCCCTCACTCCTTTTCATTTTTTTCTCGAAATTTTTATTTAAATATTTTTATTGTGAAATGTTTCATACAAACAGAAAGGACACAATAGTGAACTCAGCGGTTTAGTCCAAAGTGTACATCACCTGGTAACTATGGCTCAGGCCAACACCTAGAGTCTCCCGAGTCCTCAATCATTCCCAGCCCCTACTCTCACTCTAAAAGGAAACCATGAGCTTGTTTTCTCATAGCACTTTCAGTTTTTCCTTATATTTTTGCCACTCAAATGTACATCTCTAAATGCTGTGATTCACTTTTCCTGGTTTTTCCAGCTTTATTGAGGTCTTCACACAGTATGTAGTCTTTTGGGTCTGGTTCCTCTCGTCAATCATTATGTTTGTGAAATCCCGATCACTGTTTACAGCAGTAATCTTCACGTAAGCACAATATTCTTTCATATGGCTATACCACAACTGATTTATTTACTCTACTGCTGATACGTATTTGATGGCTTCTGGGTTCTAGATGTTATAAATAAGCTGCTATGAGCATACGGACATATAAGCACATTTCTATTAGATTCACATGGGGGTTTCAAAAAGTTCATGGAAATGCATATTCTGATGAAAGTATGCACCAAATTTACTTTGTATCAAAATAAACGCATACTTTACCTACATTGTTCCATGAATTTTTTAAAGTCCCCTTGTACTTAGGAGAGCAACTTCTGATTACAATTATAATTTGTTTCTACCACAAGTGCAGAGGCATTGCTCCACATCCTCACTGACATGTGGTAGCGGCAATATTTTCAATTTCAGCAGTTCTGGTGAGTGAGTTACATCATTTTAATGTGGCTTTAAATTGCATTTCCAATTAAGGTTGTACACCTTTGGATATTTATTTTTTCCACCTGTTCATTAGTGAGAGTTCTTTTTGGGGGGATGTTTTTGCTACAGAGCACGTGCACTTGCCAGAAAGACAGAGAGACAGAAAGTGAAAAATCACCCCTGGGGGGATGGCCACACCTCAATCCCTTCTCCTCTCGGGATTTTGGGCACGCACGCACACGCGCCTGACGTGAGTTTAAGCAGGCCCGCAACTTGAACTGCAGTCGACTACATGGGAGTCCAGCGACATAGCCATTACGCCAACTGCTGGTCCTCACTGTTAAGATTTCTTTGAGGGGCTGGCAGGTGGCACAATGATTGGGAGTGCTGGACTCCCCACATGGCCAACCACAGTTTGAGTCCCGGACCTGGTGGCTTGCTTTCTCACTTTTTCTCTCTCTCACTCTATCCATCTCTGGTCAAATTAAAATAAATAAAGTTCAATAAAGTAATTCTTAAATAAAAAAAGTTCTTTAAACATTCCACATATAAGTCTTATGTTACATTAAGTGTAGCTTGCCTTTTACTCTCTTAATGACAGCTGTTGATTATCAGAAGTACTTAATTATTTTTTAATTGCCAGAAGGTATATACTCTTGCCAGAGAGAAACAGAAAACCAGAGAGAAAATGACCATGCCCCACCGAGGGCATGGTCAATGCCACAAGCCCCTTTCCCTTCATTTGTCCTTTCCATCAGGATTTGGGAAATGCATGCATACGTGTTTGTGTTTTTTAAGCTCCTGGGACTGGGATTTAGACCATGGTTGGTCACGTGGGATCCAGCTCCTGTAACCACAAGGCTATATGGCTAGAACCTAAAGTTCTTGATTTAAATGTAGTCCAATTTACTGATTTCTTCCTTTAGAGTTAGTCCTTTTGACTCTATTTAAATGTCTTACCACATGAAGTCATGGAGGTATCTCTAGGTGTTTCTTACTTAATTTCTTACAATTTGAGCTATAATCAGTATGGAACTTAATTTTGGCATGGTATGAGGAAGGTGAACAACTTTTCCAGATCAATGGTCTATTACCCTAGCATTGCTGATTGAAAGTAGTGCTTTTCCTTTTTTGGGGGGAGAGGTTTTATTTTTTGCTGTAGGGCGCATGCACATGCCAGAAAGACAGAGAGAGACAGAGAGACAGAAAGCGAAAAATCACTCCCCATGGGGGATGGCCACACCGCAATCCCTTCTCCTCCATTCTCCTCTCGGGATCTTGGGCACGCATGCACACACACCCGGCGTGAGTTTAACCACTGGGTCCGGAACTTGAACTGCGGTGGACTACATGGGAGTCCAGTGACACAGCCATTACACTAACTGCTGGTCCCGAAAGTAGTGCTTTTCTTCACATCTTTTCTCCCCACTGCCAATTTCTTTAAATAAAATGTTTATACTGGGTTGTCAGAAAAGTCATGAAGCATTTTTGCATAGAAAAATACGTCATGACAGAATATTCCGACGACCCAATATATTCTTGATTTAATTGTCTTGATTTAATTGGGGATCCCTATTATACTCTACAGTTCATTTATCCTTGAGCAGATAACAAACTGTCTTAGTATTAAAGTTTTAAAGTAGGTCTCAAGACAGTATAGAACAAGTCTTGATACTTGGCAAAGTGTATGAGACTGAAAAGTGATATGTACACTGAAAACTAGCATTTTATTAGTTTCTTACAAATTCTAAAGGAAATAAAAGGTAATTCACAGGAAAAAAAACATGGCAAAATAGTACTTACATGGCTATATGTACATGAGTACTGCTCTAACTCAAATGACCACACAATTACGTTAGGATGAGAGGACAGAACAGGTGCAGGGAGAGTTTGTGTGTGTGGTAGTGAGAGCTAAACCATTCAGTGTAAAATTCATAGTGGCTAAATGAAACATGAAGCGACAGTGAGGGCATGTTACTTAGAAATACAGAGAAAGGTAAGCTGCAGATCAACTTAACTGTATTCACTCTTCCCTGAAAGTAGACACGACTCCATAATATTCCTATTTACAAGTCCTCCTTCTTGGATACTTAAATGTACACACTGAATTTCCATCACTATAGTAATTTATGTTCCCAAATTTCACGCTACCTATAAAAAATCACAAAGAATTTTATTCTATTCTATTCTAATTCTATTCTAATTTTTTCAGTATAAAGGTTAACATTAAGATTTAGGCAGACTGTGAAAGAAAGAAACAGAAAAATAGGTCAATAATTTTCATCTAATTATAAAAATAGAAGACCATAACTTCCTATTTGCTAAAATTTAGTAAATTCACCTATGTAAATGACAGCATTTTATCTGTTATACCAATGGTAAAAAAAAAAAAAAATTATAATAATTTATTTAATTCCAGTTATTATTATTATTATTATTTTAATTTGACCAGAGAGAGACAGAGAGAGAGAGAAAAGGAAAGTGAGAAAGCAAGCTGCCAGGTCCTGGACTCGAACCACAGTTGGCCATATGGGAATCCAGCACCCATATTCACCATGCCACCTGCCAGCCCCACAAATGGTAAAAATTTCAAAGATTAATAAGCCCGCTAATACTCAACAAAGTATTATATACTTTTACATTTCATAAAGTATCTTTTGAAAAAACTGTGTATCTAAAAATAAAACTGTGTGTATCCTAAAATTACTAAGATCTTTTTTTTGTTGTTTTTGAGAGAGAGATTTTTGTTATAGTGCACGTGTGCTCACTGGAGAGAAAGAGAGTCAGAAAGCAAGCAATCTCTCCACCCCCACCGAGGGGATGGTCACACCACCATCCGTTTTCTTCCATCCTCCTGTCAGGATTTTGAGCACACAGGCACATGTGCCTAGCAGGTGCTTCAAGCCACCATGTCTGGGACTCCAGCCCCAGTTGGACACATTGAAGTTGAGCACCTTAATCACTATGTCACCTGGTGGCCCTACTAAAATATTTTTTAAAAGATCATTTAACATGACGTGAAAATTTTAGTTTTTAAAATTATATTAATAAAAACCTTATGAAGAAGTATTTTAATATCATTACAAACCAATGTTTATACCCAGAATAAAAAGCTATTTCTTCTTCTTTTTTTTTTTTTTTTTTGAGATTTTTGCTATAGGGCACGTGCACTCGCCAGAGAGAGAGAGAGAGACAGAAGTGAGAAATCAGCCCCTGGAGGGGGGAATGGCCACACCACAACCCCTCCTCCTCCAGTCTCCTCTTGAGATTCTGGACATGCTTGCACATGCGTCCAGCATGAATTTTAAATCACTGAGTCCAGGACTCAAACCATGGGAGTCCAGCAATGTAACCATTATGCTATCTGCTGATCCCATAAAAAGGTATTTCTGGGGCCAGCAGGTGTCATGGAGGTTAAGGGCACTGAACTCCCACACAGGGCTGACCACAGTTTGAGTCCCGAACCTGGTGACTACCTTTCACACTCCCCACCCCAACTCTGTTCTTCTTCGGTCAAATTGAAAATAAATAAATAAATAAATTCAAATAAAATAATTCTTTAAAAAAATTATTAGAAAGGTCTGATATTGGGGGGTAAAAAAGTAATAAATGCTTACCTTAAAGCACGACTAAGTTTCTCATAGTTCATTGTAGGCTTATTTTTACGTTGTCCCCATTTCTGTGCAACCAGTTCAGGCTGGTTTAGCTTAAACTCGCCTTCATCACCAACCCAAGAAATACAGTCTCGAGCGTCCTTGTCAGTCAGAAGTTCCAGCAAAAACTGCCATAGTTGGATTTGGCCATTGTTTCCTAAATTGAAGAGAGACAGATACTGACCACAGGGTTATAGAGGAACACAGGGCAAAGGTAATACACAGGCCTCCTGGTTCAAATCATAGCAGAAACTATTTTTTTTTTTTTCTTCTTTTGGAGAGGTTTTTGCTATAGGGCTCATGCACTCGCCAGAAAGAGAGAGAGAGATAGAAAGCGAGAAATCACCCCCCAAGGGGGATGGCCATGCCGCAATCCCTTCTCATCCATTCTCCTCTCGGGATCTTGGGTACACATGCACACGCGCCCGGCGTGAGTTTAAGCCACTGGGTCCGGGACACAAACCGGTCAGCTACATGGGAATCCAACGACATAGCCATTACGCTAACTGCTGGTCCCATGCAGAAACTTTTTATTTAATAGATGCTGTCTAAAGACTGTCAGAGGAATAGTTCATACTCATATTTTTACATAGTGAAGTAAAACAAAATATATCTAATTTGACAAATTTTAAAATACCAGATAATTAAAAATACCTGTTCGGTTCCCAGGTGAGCTTCTATCTTCTCCTGAAATCCTTGGAGCTCTTTGTACTTTCGCTGCCTTTGCACTACTATTTATAACTTTAATGGTAGTTGGTGTAGCCGACTGCACTGATGCTGGAATAATTTGCACGGCTGTAAAGAAAGAAAAGTGGAAATATTTTTCTTTCAATACAAGCAGTGGAAAAGTTACTGAAATAACACTAAATGTAAGTGATTTAATCAGTGCACCAGTAATTACCTCAAGAAAAGATCTCACTACAATAAGGCCTTTATCCTCACCAGTTTCGCACAAAATCACAAAAACAGTTCAGAGCATAAAGGATAATGCCTGCATTACAGTTTGTGAATTAAATTTGTGAATAAAAGTTGGTTTTCTTGTTTGGAAATGATAACTTCATAGGGCATATATACTAAACAGAGTTATAATATAAAAACATTTGCTGCCCCCAAAATGGAGAAAATGTGCATGTGATGAGCATACAAACTCAGAGCCACTTAAGAGAAAAACTTCAGTAATACCCAGAGCAAAGTTGAAAGAAGAAAAATTCTGTGATAATACAACCAGAGAATCTCACACATATTCTTAGAAATACTTATTCACTAATGTTCATAGCACGTTTCTAAATCTATGTAGCAGTGAAAATGAAACTCAGCTGCAAGTATCAACCTATGTCTCATAAATGTTAAACCAGTTATAAAGGATAAGCAGAATTTTATTATCAACACTTTACTTAAATGCTTAAACTTGTGCAAAACAATGCTATGAAGTGTTTATAATTACACAGCTGATATGAATAGGAAATATGTAGAGAATAAGAAGCACCAAGTTCGGGACAGTCACTTTGCTGGTTGGAAAGAGGAAAATGGCACAAATGACAGGTAAACTGGCTGGTATATAGTTTTATTTCTTATAGGTAAACAAGTATTAGTTATTCTTTATTTGTTAATATCTAATACCTCCTTTACGGAAAGTTTTAAAAACAAAGTTTCTCTTTTTAACCACCTTGTGGACTCAAATAAAGAAAACATTTCTTAGTGATAATGAGTCAGTATTACAGGCATCAATACTCACGTTGATCAATTGTAACTATTTCATTCATCTGCTGTTCTTGGCTTGCCAATACATCTGAAAAGCACATAGAAAATTTTGAATTTTCATCTAAAATCAGAAATACAAACCCCAATCCAGTAAAACTCAATAAACACAACCCTTTTAAAGGAAACTCCATAATTAAAATCAAAACCAGCCAAACAAGAACAGCAAAACACTAAGCTGAAACTTACTGGCATGAAAACTTAAAAAGCGTTAGTTACTTTACTTACGTATCTTTAAAGAAGTAAGGCAAGAAAAGATCCAATGTTAGTATTTGGGCAAGTTACCCAGAGAACCATAGCTATCTAAATGTAACTATCTATATCTAAATCTATTTTATCTATCTATATAAAACCATGTAAAAATATGGAAATCTCCAAATTCAGGTCAAAGAATATTTATGGCAAACTGAAAATTATTTAGATGTACACTTGCCACCAAAAAGCCTCCCTCATAGTACTGTTGCAAATTCCCCTTTTGAATAAAAGTATTTCACTTTATAATGGTATTTAAAGATATCTACATTTTTAATAAAATTATAGTTATCTTAAATGACACAATTAAACTATTGTAAATAACATGTCTATAAATACAGCTCTCAACTTAAGATTTACATTATAGAAGCTCCCATATAAACCTTTAAAGAACTATCCATTACTCGTCTTTTGTTATCCTCTACTCAAATGCTACTCTACCTCGCAAACAAGGATTGGACACCCCTGGTCTCTACTGTTACAGCCTACTGAGTGCCCATCACACACTGCAAACTTCTCTTCAGAAAATGAAATTGTGCCTACCAGTCATCATTTTGGTCAGTTAGTGAGTCCCAGGGGCAGGTCCCCTAGGAAGATTCTGCTAAGATGCCATGCCAGGATCCAGTTCCAGACACACAGAGCTAAGAAGCTGGGAAACTGGAGAGGGGGCTGATTCCTATCTATGAGATAAAAGCCTGAGTTTGTTGGCTTAAACTAAATGGGTCTAGCTTCAGATAGATCTGGCTTCAGATTTTAGCTCTCACTTATCAACTATGTGACTTCGGTAAATTATTCAACCTCGCTGAACATTAATCCCTCTTGTTCAAATGAGATACCCATACCTACCAACTCATAAGGTTGTTGTGAAGACCAAAGGAAAACGTTAAGAAACACAGTGCCTGAAACATAGTTGACTTTTTAGTAGACAGAAGATGTTACTGCTTTATCAGACTCCCAGTTCTGAGCACTTTTTCCAAAAACTGCTCTCTCTCCTAAGGACAAATCCAGGCCTTATGTTTGTGGTACATCTCCCCAGAATTTTATAAAAGTACCTCACAGAAGCAACATGCTGTTGAAAGTGAAACTGTTCCATTTATGACTAAATGAATAGGAGTATCCTGACCTCAAATAGGGAAAAGAGAGTTACCATCACACAGCTGGGCCTCATACACTGCAAAATCAGCTTCTAAGCCCTGATTCTCAGACTGGAGAATGGCCTGTTTCCTAGGAATTCTCAAGATAGAAGACGACCAAACACAGAAGTGTGGACAAGTTCATGTAGGCACTCTACCATGCTTTTCCTAAAGCTCCGAAATCCTGGCTATGCACAAAGGAGGCAGGGTCCTAAGGAGCAAAACCCTAGAGAATATGGAGTCAGGTTATGAAGAAACATTAGACATAAAGATATAAAGCAACTATTTTCCCTAAAGAAAACCCTCAGCAAAATGAGACCTTTGTCTTTGATGACGTAAGACAGATACACCAAGAAGCACATCTATCACAGACCTGGTAGTCCTGGGGCATTTTCTAATTATCTTCCCCATGTACAGAAGGACTTGGATGAAGTGTTAATAAGAGAGAACTGCAGGGGGGGGGTTTGAATGCCTAATCTAATACAAATTAGATCTCTTCACTACCTCTTCTTGAGGGATCACTAAGGATGAATAGATAAGAGGCTCACTTAAAAACAGTTCTGTACCAGGACCAGCAGGTGGCATTATGATTACGTCGGTGAACTCCCATGTAGTCGCCAGTGGCTGGTGTCTTAAAACTCATGCTGGGTGCATGTGTGTGCACGTGCCCCAAATCGCAAGAGAATGGAGAAGAGATTGCAGTGTGGCCATCCCCTATAGCAAAAATCTCTTAAAAAACAAAACAAAACAAAATAAAACAAAACAAAACAAAAAAACATAGTTCTATGCCAGGAATCAGTGTCTTTCAGAAATATGTTACAGACTTCTCTCTACAGGCGGAACCAGATTACTGGACTTGGCTGAAAAGGGCACTTCTGGGAAGTGAGACCTGTGAATTATAGGAAATCTGCCAGAAATGACCTTTTATATCACGATGTTTGCCCATCCCCAAATTCCTTTTTTTCCCCTTTTTTTTTAGGAGAGGTTTTTATAGGGTGCGTGCACTAGCCAGAAAGACAGAGATAAACAGAGAGACAGAAAGCCAGAAATCACCCCCCAGGGGGGATGGCCACGCAGCAGTCCGTTCTCCTCCATTATCCTCTGGGGATCTTGGGCACATACGCACATGCGTCCAGCGTGAGTTTAAGCCACCGGGTCTGGGATTCGAACCGCGGTCGACTACATGGGAGTCCAGTGACACGGCCATTATGCTAACTGCTGATCCCCCATCCGCAAATTCTTGACAGAATATTAGATTCTCAAACCAGATGGGATTTCCTTGCCAGAGGCAGAGTGAAGAACCATGGCAGGAAAATCAAGGAATCTCATAAGATATTTACCTAGGCTGTGAGCTTTTGTTACTTCGGAAAAGAAAGAGACAATACTAGACCAGTGTTTTTTTTTTTTTGTCTTTTTTTTTTTTTTTTTTTTTTGAGGAAGATCCATTTTACTACACAGAAATGGAAAGATAAACAAGACTCATTTGCCTCTGAAAAGCCTATAAGGGCTTTAAAGCCTGAGAAGTACTAGGCGAATCAGAAAGATAAACTGCGACAAAGAGCCAACTTGGAAAGAGTTGGGAAAGCCATGAATTTAGAAAAACTAAACTGTAGTCTAAGCAGTCATTAAGAACTGTAATAGTAAGAACTGACAGTGGAAAACAACAACAAAAAACCTCTATAAAGGCAATGAGTGGAATCTCCAAGTGTTACAGTTTTTAAAAATATGTCTAAGAGAACCCATACAAAAGCCAACCCAACTGTTTTCAACAACAAATATAAGCCTTTCTCCAGAAAGCATTCCTTATTCAACAATGGAGAAAGCACCTTGGATGAAAACTCTAAGCAGTAAGTTACTGAGGAAAATTCCTCCACTACCAGCTCTTTCTTGTTGGGCACATAGTAGAACAAAACACTGCTGGTTACATTTTCATCCATAATCTTTACAAAGAGGTGGTTCTATTCATATGTTCTGAAAAACATGCGAGTTTGGCTAGCATTTTTGATATACAAAACGGCATCAGGAAATAACTTCACTGAGGCAAAAGATGAATTATAATTCAACCAAACTAATATACAGTTATTTGAGCTTTTTGTTGGACTGCCATTTTATCGTGTCTTTACACACGCAATAGTAACAACTGTGTCTGTGAAGCATGCTGTATGTAGAAACACTTAAAACCAGTGGCTTCCAATTCAAGATGGCAGACTGCAGTTTTTCATTTCTTATCCTTAAAACCCTATTCAATCAACAGGAAAGAAATTTGAAAAGACATAATCTCACAAACCATAAAGGAATGGGAAGGAAGTGATTTGTAAACAAAGTATCTTAAACTCCTAAAGATGAACAGCAAAGAAAAACTGATGAATCCGAAGGCAATGACGAGAACAAATGAAGAGGGCTAAATGGAGAGCACAACATCTGATGTAAAAACCTGGATTCTGGGGACCAGCAGGCGGAGTGGTGGTTTTGGCACTGGATTCCCACATGGCCAGCCACTGTATGAGTCCTGAACCCAAGGGTTTGAAAGTCACACCACACCATTTATGTATGTGTGTGTGCACGTGCATGTGTGTGCCCAAAATCTCAGGAAGGGATTATACTATGGCCATCGCCGCAGGGGATGATTTTTTACTTTCCCTAGTATCTCTCTGGCAAGCACACATACTCTACAGCAAAAACCTTAAGAAGAAAAAGAAAAAGTTTGGGGCCAGCAGGTGGTGTAGTGGTTATAACACTGGACTCCCACATGGCCAAGTGCAGTTTAAGGCCCAGACTTGGTGGCTTGAAAATCACTCCAGGCACATGTGCCCAGGAGGAGTATAGAGAGGGGAGAGGGGACTGTGGTGTGGCCATCACCCCTGGGTCGTGATTTCTCACATTCCCTCTCACTGTCTCCCTCTGGGAGCACACACACCTTATGGCAATAACCTTAAAAAAACCCAAAAAACAAAAAACAAAAAAACTTCGGATTTTAGTGTTAGCCTGGGTTTGAATGCTGTTTCTACCACTTGTTAGCTTTATTTAAAAAACAGGGAAAATAATTATTTGTGGCATTAGCATAGGGATTAAATAAAATAATATGTAGAGAGAGATCTCCGTACAGCATTATATAATAAATGTTACTTAGTTTTGCTTAATAAGCTTATTTTAAATTAATTACATATTATCAATGAATATAAGCTAAAAACAAGGTTATAAAGAAATAAAACTAAGCTTAAGTTAGTTACAATGTAAGTAGTCAATAACTGAATTTTATACATTTTCGAAGAAGCTCCAGGTGACTCCAAAGAATTTCTCCCCGAGGAACTCGCTGAAAAAAGTCTTCTTGGTTGAGACTGCATAATTCTCTTCCCGAAATGTTGAGTGTGGTGAGGTCTATGTCAGACATGCTGAATTCTTTCATTACCCAAACCACCCAGTGCAGGACTTGGTCTGTGGACCACTGTATAGGATCTGGAAAGAAAAATATTATCTTTAGCTTAGAACCATCTTAGATATTACATATTTATTTACAGTTAACTTTTTAATACACACAGATACATACAAAATCCAGACAAAGGGGTCTGGTAAATAAAATAAACTTATCACATGAAGTAAAAAGATTTTTATGCTACATTTTCTCCTCAGTTTCTTTTCATCTTCTTAAACTAAATTTCTAAAGGAGTCACTTAGTTTGAATTTTTATAAAGAAAAACAAAATGCAAAACTGTTCTCCACTGGGCCAAATGGAAAAATAACATACATGATTATCACAGAGAGAGTAAATTATTCAAGTTTAAAAAATTATTTTGTAGCATGTACATTGAAAACAAATTAAAAGTAGGCACTAGGGAGCTAGCGGTTATTCTCCAAAATGTAAACAACATACTCTTCTCTGCTTTTTCCTTCCTGTTGAAAATTGATTGCTCTTCCCTTTAGGACCCTTGTGGCAGCACTTAAAACACAACATGCAAATTGTCTGTGTCCTTAGCTATCCCTCACAAATATAAGGACTCTTGTCTTGTAAACCATTCTACCTTCAACAAAGCCTACCACACTGCCTTACACATATATTTGTTGAATCTATAAGATATAGCCAAATAAATTCATTTTCCCCATAACTGTTACTAATTAAATTCACAAATGAAAAAAAGAGTCAGCATGTATAAATATTATAGCATCTCTGATGCTTAATAGAGCATTCTACCTGTGAAAGTTTAGTAAATCCTAGCTAGATTAATTTTAGTACTGGTATTCTTGCTTTAAGAAGATCTACTTGGAACCAGCAGGTAGCATAGACACGTGTTTGTGAATGTGTACCCAAAATCTCCAGAGAAGAAGAGATTGTGACATGGCCATCCTGGGTGATTTCTCATTTTCTTTCTCTCTGGCAAGCACACAAGCCCTATGACAACTCCCCCCCACCCTTTAAAAAAAAAAAAAAAAAAGAGATGATCTACTCAAATAATATGCATTATACACCCAGGGAATGAATGTTGTGCTATTCAATAAGAAAATAAGTGGAAAAAATATTTAGGTACTTATCAATGGTCAATTTATAGCACAAATGAATCAACTTAAGGATGTAGAACTGACAGTCGCAAGACATATTTTCCACAAAGGAAAGAGGAGATCTCTATGAAGACGGCGGCCAAGTTCTTAAATCTCTTTGAATACACACTTAAAAAGAGAAAATACAACTAGAGAGCAAAACAACCCATAGACATTTACAATAAAACTAGGTGACAAGGATCTCAAAATGCACAAAGGTAAGATGGTATGACAAAGCAGTAACAGTCATGTGACCTCCATGGTCTCACAACTGCACAGGAAAAAGAAAAGGGAAGCAAAGGGATACCTGACCCATTTGACAGAGGAAGACTTGAACACAGCCAAGAGGTATTCACTGAAAACACAACAGGCCCAGCTGAAATCAAAGCTAAAAAGTAGTTCTGTCCAGTCCAAGAGCAGCTGAGCACAGAAGTACACAGTAAGGTTTAAAGGGCTGGAGCAGTGTAGACAGGAAATTTTTCAAACCGAGCCAAGGAGCAAATGAAGCTTTCAATAAAGAGCAACTGCTGGGAGTAGACTCAAAGTGAGACACATAGGATACCAAGGGAAAGACCTCGATCACAGTACAGTAAAGGGGGCCAGCAGGTGGTGTGGAAGGTACGGCACTAGATCACACATGGACAACTGTGTAGTTCAAGTCTTGGACCAGTGGCTTCAGAATCACACCAGGCACACGTGCGAATATGCCTAAGATCCTAAGAGAACGGACAAGAAGGGACTGCATTGTGGCCATCCCTCCCCCTATGGCAAAGCACACATGCCCTATAGCAAAAACTTAAAAAGAAAAAAAAAAGTGCTGTAAAGGAACAAACAAGAAATTGAGAAAACAGCTGCCCCATTTTTTAATACTATTTGAAAAAAAGCAGACGAGGGGCTTTTGTTAAGTTAGAAAAACTATCCTAAAGGCTTTTTCTTTCTCTCCAAAAGTTTGAGAAAGCTTATTTTACATAAAAATAAATGAAAAAATATCAAGATCAAAAAAGGGGATTTTTCTAGGCAAAAATGTGTCATGACTTTTCCAAAAACCTAACAATTACTCTGATTTGTTTCTTCATGTAACATTAGAGCTTCCGGTATAGCCTGACTAAGGATGTGCATATTCTGTCTCTTTTCCCTAAGACTCTAGAAAAATGATTTTTTAAAAGGAAAGGAATTTTTTAAAAGATGTATAACCAGGAGCAGCACAAAGGCAGAGAGGTATCACAATGTTCTGTGAGTCTGATCCACATAGGAAAGTTCTAGGTTTGCACGTTGAGACCTCCTTGAGTGTCAAGAACACCTGTGCCCCAGATTTGGGGCTGAAGATGGGGATGGATCACCGTGTCTCCATTCTGTTGGGGGAGCCTATCTCATCTTTCTAATTCACGGAATGAAGAAATAGACTTCAAAAAATAGAAAGATATAAAAGTACTGAGCAACAGACAGACAGGGATGGGAGATCAATTAATTTTCTGAAGATGATAAGAAGAGGGATAATCAATCTAGCAGCGTAAGAAGCGAGAGAACTCCTGCCTGTAGAACCTCCTTTCAGCAGTATAGGAGACTCCCACACATGTGGACACCAGGACTGGGACACACACAAAGCAGATAATGGGAGGGAGAACAATTACTGGTAATAAAACAATTAACAAACTAAATAGTAAGATCTCTTCTTAGCCCATTTCCTTTCCTACTTCCAAAATCAGCATTACATACCCTTCAATCCCCCACTATTCCTGACAGGTATTTGACCAATTCTTCAACATTGAAGAGATCCAGTGAAAAGATCTACACATACTGACACATTTGAAAATCTTCTATTGAAATGGTCAAGGCTTTGTTTTATCAACATGTAATCAGTCAACAAATCCTTAGGAACCTCAAATTAATTAGCAAAAATAACAGAAAAATAGAATCCAAAAACAGTAGCTATAAGGCAGTAACAATTTTTTTTTAAGTTTTAAAAAAACCCACCATAATCAATGTACTCAGAAAAGACAAAATATATCTAAAATACAAAGATCCAATACCCAGTAGATACCAAGAAATGACTGTATAATGACAGATCTTATCCATGAGGCTGAGGTAGGACTATGGAATTGGAGAGCTAGTCGATCTAAATCAAATATATCAGTAATAACTATATCTTTGTTGTGGATATATATATATATATATATATATATAAATTGCCAGAGGATATATGCACTTGCCAGATAGAGAGACAGAGAGAAAGAGAAGGGAGGGAGAAAGCACTCTCCAATGATGTATGGTCAGGCTACAATCCCTTCTCCTCCACCTCTCTATCCTGTTAGGATTTTTGGGCATTCACACACACATGCCTGACAGGTTTTTCAAGTCACAGGGACTAGGATTCAAGATTCAGAGTGTACTTGGCTGGGGCCAGCAGATGGACTCCCACATAGTCAACGGTGGTTCAAGTCCTAGATCAGGCAGCTTGAAATTCATGCTGGGCATATATACATGTGTGCCCAAAATCCTGAGAGAAGAGTGGAGGAGAAGGGATTGCAGTGTGGCCATCCCCCCAGGGGGTGATTTTCTAACTTTCTATCTGTCTCTCTCATGAGTGCACACACTCTGTAGCCAAAATCTCTAAAACAAAACAAAACAAAAAACCAAAGTGCTGTTGGCCAAATGAGACCTGGTTCCTTTAATCACTAGACTACAGGGCTGGCTCAAATACATCTTTTTTAAAAAAGATTTTTACCAAAAGGTATATGTGTTTGCTAGAGAAAGACAGCGAGAGAGGTAAAAGTGAGAAATCAGTCCCCAGGGGTATGGTCACAGCACAATCCCTTCTCCCACATTCTCCTCTCAGGATCTTGGAATTATGTACACGTGTCTGGTGGTCTTCCCAAGCCGCCAGGTCTGGGACTCAAATAGTAGAGTCTGCTATGTGGGATCCAATGCCTTAACTACCACACCACCTTCTGGCCCCAATATATATTTTTAAAGGTTAGTATTTAATTATTCTCCGGCAGATGGTGTGATATTAAGTCACTTGACTCTCGGTCATGGTTTGAGTCCTAAACCTGACAGCCTGCTTTCTCACTTTCCCTTTCTGTCTCTCTGGTCAAATTAAAAAAAAGAAAAGAAAAGAAAAGAAAAGAAAAGAAAAAGATAATAAAGAAAATTAAATAAACAGTTCTTTAAAAAAATATTTAACAACTCTGGAGGCCAGGATCAGCAGTTGGCATAATGGCTATGTCGCTGGACTCCCATGTAGTCAACTACAGTTCGAGTCCCTGTAGTTAAGACCTGGTGGCTTAAACCCCCGCCATGCACATGTGTAAGTTCATGCCCAAGATCCCAAGAGGAGAATGGAGAGGGGATTGTGGTGTGGCCACCCCCCGGGGATGGGGGGTAATTTCTGGCTTTCTGTCTCTCTCTTTCTGGCGAGCACACACACCTCTCCAAAAAACAAAACAAAATAAAACAAAAATTCTGGAGGCCAAAAACATGAGCTTGCAGCTTTTTTAATAATTATTCAAATTGTAAGTAAAAAACAAAAATAAGCTTAATATATGTACCTTTTCAATAATCTTATTTAATAAAAAATAAATTTTTCACTTGTAATCAGTTTCGACATTCCCTGCAGCCCATCTCTTTGGACAGACTTGTAACTGCTATATATTCTTTAACTTGAATGTCACCCTTAGTTGTTTAATGTGAAATACCAAAAAAAAAAAATCAGAAGGAAGAAGGAAGACAAACAGATGAAAGAAAGGAAGGGATAAAGGAAGAAATGGATTGGCTCTAACAGTTGTCAAAATATAAAACTGATATGCACAGGGGCTGGCAGGTGGTGCGGTGGTCAGGGGTGCTGGACTCGCACATGGCTGACCATGGTTCGAGTCCTGGACCTGACAAGTTGCTTTCTCACTTTCTCTCTCTGTTTCTCTCTCACACACACACTGTCCGTCTCTGATTAAATTAAACTGAATAAGTAAATAAAGAAATAAATAAAGTTAAATAAAATAATTCTTTAGAAAAATTGATGTGGGGGAACCAGCAGTTAGCATAATGGCTATGTCGCTGGACTCTCACGTAGTCGACCACGGTTCACGTCCCAGACCTGGTGGCTTAAAACTCATGCCGGGCGCGTGTGTGTGCATGCCCAAAATCCCGAGAGGAGAATGGAGGAGAAGGGATTGCGGCGTGACCAACCCCCCTGGGGGTTGATTTCTCGCTTTCTGTCTCTATGTCTCTCTGTCTGTCTGGTGAGCGCACGCGCCCTATAGTGAAAATCTCTCCAAAAAAAAAAGAAAAAGAAAAATTGATGTGCATGAAGTTTTATTATGTATAAACTGTAGGGGATTTCTTAATATGGATCAATATTTCAAAGAGATTTAAAGTAGCTATAACCAGTTAAACATATTTCAGTTTTCCACAGAATTAAAAAATTAACCTAAGAACTACCCTTAGGTATAGAAATATAAAATGATAGTTTCCTAGGATAATTTTATTAATTTCTAAAGCTTTTTAGTAGGTAACATTTTCAAGGAAAAAACTGCTTTTTAAAAAGTTTTCTCATATGTGGGATCAGCAGATGGCATAATGGCTATGGACCCCCATTCAGCTGACCAGTTTGAGTGCCAGACACAGGCTTAAAACTCACACCAGGAGCTTATGCATGGGTGCCCCAAATCCCGAGAGGATCGAGAAGGGATTGTAGCATGGCCATCCCTTTGGGGGGTGATTTCTTGCTTTCTATCTCTCTGTCTCTCTGGTGAGCTCAAGTACTCTATAGCAAAAAATCTCTCTTTAAAAAAAGTTTTCTAATATGTGAGTAAATCTCAATCATTTTAAAAGAGCTTCCTTCTAACTATATAACACTCTTGGTAAGAATTCTGAGTCAGATTATAATCTTACAATCTACAACTCATTTTTTTCTTTTGCAGTTTTACAATAGGATGAGTATGCTCACCAGAGAGAGAGATAAAGTGAGAAATTCCCCCCAAGAGCATGGATGACCACACCGCAATTCTTTCTCTTCCAGTCTCCTCTCAGGATTTCAGAAAAACATGCACACACACCCACAAGATTTTAAGACACTGGGTCCAGGACTTGAAATTTGGAGTTGGCCATGTGAGATTCAGGGCCTTAACCTTCACACCACTGGCTACCCCTCCACAATTCTTTTTTTTTTTTTTCCCCCGTAAGAATTATTTATTTAACTTTATTTATTTACTTACTTAGTTATTTTAATTTAACCAAAGAGGGACGGGGAGCGGAGGTGGATGGAGAGAGAGGGAGGGAGAGAGAAATTGAGAAAGCAAGTCACCAGTTTGGGACTTGAACCACTGTCGGCCATGTGGGAGTCCAGCATCCTTAACCACGTGCTGGTCCCTACAATTAATTTTTAAACACTATAGTCTATAAAAGATTGTACTGTTGAAGAGTTATTGAACTCTGTAAAAATCGTTTCAAACTTTTCATGCTCCCTTCTTTCTGTCTCAGCATTTCTTCTTCAAAAGATTACTATTGTAGTAACCCAAAGGTCAAGTACATCATCCGCATTAGCTTCTGCATGGCAAAGATAAGTGATTAAATACTCTCGACTATTCTAACTTCTTTTTCCCTTGTATCTCTGAGGAATGGCTATATATCAGTCTTCAAACTGGGCTCATACTATACTTCAATTGATAGCCCAATGATACAATTTTATCTAGAAACACCCTCAGATCTCCACCAGATCCTAAACCATCAGTACTATTTATTTGTTCCCCTAGCACTCTTTGCCACCTGCCTCCCCAAAGTTTATGTACAATTTTCTCCATTCCTATAATGTATGTTTCTTGTAACTTTGTCTGACTCTCTGGTTACTTTTCTAAATTTACCAAAGACACTCTGATTATCAAATTTAATAGCTATTACTAAGTTGGCACTCTGACTTTTTCAGTAGCATACCAGAGTCTTCACTATTTAATTACATAATTATTTTCCTTTAATCTCTGAAGCTATTCTTGTTACCTTTTCTTTTACCAATCCTAAAGTTTACATGGTCTAAGGAATCCATTTTTTTAAAGAATTATTTATTTTATTTTTTAAAAATTTGATCAGACAGGGACAGAGTGAGAGTGAGAGAGAGAAAGTGAGAAAGCAAGCCGCCAGGTCTGGGACTCGAACCGCGGTCGGCCATGTGGGAGTCTAGCGCCCTTACCCCCCACACCACCTGCGGACCTAGGAATCAACTTTTAACACTGTCCCATTCCATTTTCTCTCTCTCCAGAAGAGCCTATATATACATTAATGGCTTCAACTACATTACGAATTCAGTATGAATGAGTTCCACATAACACCTTTATCTCCTGCCCAAACGTTAGACAACTGAAACTATTTTCTGGCTACCTTCAGCTGAACATGAACTTTCACTTCAAAATCAAGTGCTAGTAACACCTGCCTCCAAAAACTCTATCCCATACCAACTTCCCTGCTTCCCCAGATACATTTCAAAGGCATGCTCAGTCCTTCCTTTACACCCCCATAAATTCAGTCTTACACAGTGCATGAAGATCAAACCAGTTTTTATCAAGACTATTTCTCCCTTAATTATCCAAGCTTGAGAAGTTAGATCAACACCTGAAGTATCCCCTCTCAATCCTTGTATAGATAAAATCTGTCAGGCTCCTCATTCCTATCACTGTTTTCATCCATTCTTTCTCCTCCCAAATGAAATCAACTGGTCTAGGTTATTAAGCAGGCATCATCACCTAGTCACCTAAACTATAGGATGTTCCTGCTTTCCCTTCACCCAGTTTCTATCTGCTACAAGTTATGCCATATACCACTGCCACATTCATTTTCAATTACCACTTTCATCAATCACTTATAGACCTGTACTGCTACAGAGTAACTAACTCCTTATTCTCTAAATCTTCTCCCTACTCACACATACTACTGCGTCTAAGCTTCACACATTACATTTCCTACCTGGAATGTTCTTCTCTGGTCAATAGTTTTCCTATCTATAATAAACTCTTTCTGACTTTCCCTAAGGCCACTATGAGCCCTTTCAGATTCTAATAACATGTTTCTTTCATAAGAGTTAGTGACAACTCACAAACATGTTATCTTTTATAGCAATTATCTCTTTTCAACTACCTTCTCTCTCTTAAACTACATTAAACACTCTGAGGGCAGAAATATATTTTACATTTCTCTATTTCCTCACCCAGGATAGTATTCATCCAACATATGTGCTTAATTGTGTAAGACAGCTGAGAACAAAAAAGGAAGACAGAGATATAGAAAATCAACATCCTGGGACCAGTGATACATCACTGGATTCCCACATAGTTGACTGTGGTTCAAGTCCTGAACCTGGTGGCTTAAGTTTCGCACTGGGCACATGTGTGTGTGTGTGTGTGTGCAAAACACCAAGAGGAGAATAGAGGATAAGGAATCGCAGCATGACCATCCCTGCAGGATGATTTCTTGCTTTCTTTCTCTATGTCTCTCTGGTGAGTACACATACCCTATAGCAAAAATCTCCCCAAAAAAAGGAAAATCAACATCCTTTCTAAAAATGTAGTTAAAACAGATTATAACTTTCCCTAGTGTCTTCTATGTCAAAGCTTAATTCTTATTATTCTACCAAAGGTAATGGTTATCTATATTATTACCATAGGGTATCCCAAGGCGTTCTTGTTCTTTCCTATAACCTTCCAGTGCAGCAGCCCATCTTGTTACTTGTTCTGAAGTTTCATCGGAAATGGTTGTGATGTGTTTTGTGCCATCAAGAGTTATCACTTGAGCTTCCTCAACGAGATGTGCTTCTGCTTCAGCATGGTGGGCATCTGGATCAATAACTACTTCCACAGTTTCCGCAGGCTTAACAATTTCAAGGATATTTAGCTTTGGTTCAATTCCTTAAAAATGAATTTTAAAAAAGGATTATAAATCTAAATGAAAACACAAAAGTCACTAAAAAAGTTTAGTTCACGTTCTTGAATGTTAAGAGAGAAAAACTACATTTTACATATTTTTAACAGTATGTCTAGAAAAGTTAACAGATCCCAAATAACAGTAAAATTCAAGAGAACTTCCAGGTGGGTCAGTGCTCTAAAAGGACTCTGGGTTCACACTGGAGTTCTCCTTGAGTACACTGAGCAAACATGAAGCCAAGGCCCGGGATGGCTGAAGCTAGGGGTAGACTGTGGCATCAGAACCTGTTGGAGGTGTTGTCTCTCTTGCTCATGGAAGTAATAAATAAACTTTTAAAAGGAAGAGAAAAAACCCACTTCTATAGTAACAATATTGTATCAATAAATTCCTGATTTTTGTAACTGAATTGTGGTCACATAAGAGAAACCTTGTTTGAATGAAACACACAGAAGTATTAAGGGACAAAAGAGAATCAGTTAGTTCAAAAACCTAACATAAACAGAGAGACAATAAAGCAAAGGTTTAACAGTTAACATTTAGGGAATTTGGGTGAAGGATATCCAAGGACTCCTTTACTACTCCTGCAACTTTTCTACAAGTCTACAATAACTTTTTAGAAAATAACAAACTCACCCATACAAACCCTACCTACAAATATCATCAGAAAAAGTTCTAACTCTTACCACAGTAAAATAAAATTACAAGTACCAATATGGAGAAAACAAAAATTGGATTAGGGAGTACAGAAATCAGTAGTGACCACACTTAGGATTTAAAAAAAAAATCTTTCCAAGCAAATTAAAATTATTTATCAACTCTTTTTCCTGTTAAGACAAAATACATGTATTAAAAAATGATGCAGAATGGGACCAACAGTTGGCGTAATGGCTATGTTGCTGGACTCTTATGTAGTCTACTACAGTTTGAGTCCCAGACCCGGTGGCTTAAAGTCACACCGGGCACATGTGTGTACGTGCTCAAGATCCCAAAAGGAGAATGGAGGAGAAGGGATTGCAGTGTGGCCATCCCCCCTGGGGGGGTAATTTCTTGCTTTCTTTCTCTCTGTCTTTCTGGTTCTTTTGGGAAAAACAATTTTTCCCAAAAAAAAAACCCCCCCAAAAAAAAAAAAAAAAAAAAAGATGCAGAGTGCCAGCCCATAGCATGTGGTTAAGGCAGCTGGATCTCACAAGACTGACTGAGCAGCTTGAGTTCTAGACCCAGTGGTTTGAGAAACATGAGTAGGCATGAGTAAGTTGTGTGGGATCCAGCCTCCTCAAGTGCTAAGTTATGGGGCCAGTCCAAAAACAGTCAGAATTTGGGGCAAGCAGGTGGCACGGTAGCTAGGTGCTGAACGCCCACATGGTCAACCATAGTTTGAGCCCTGGACCTGGTGGCTTGAGGATCACACTGGGCACATGTGCATGTGTGCCCAAAATCCCGAGGAGAATGGAGAAGAAGGACTGGTGGCGTGGTCATCCCCCAGGGGGTGGTTTCTCTTTCCATCTCTCTGTTCTCCTGCAAGTGCACGTGCCCTATGGCAAAAATCTAAAAACAATTTTAAAAGTCAGAACTTAAAAAAAAAAAAAAAAAAAAAAGTTTCCTAAAATTTACTACCTGATCCTCCATCCAAATTCCTATTTTCATGCCTTTAAGTTAACTCCACTTAAACACACTCACACCAGTAGGTAACTAAGCTTGTGAAGAGAAAAACAATAAATTTCTCTCACTATCAACAGCAACCAACCCTAGGGGAGAGGAGATTATCACTTTCAAAAATCTAAAGAGAACTTTGGTTTGTGAAATAATAGTGAGCAACAAAGTATGTTCAAAGACTACATTATTCTAAAGCTCTTATTAGAAATCCCAAGAAGCCACATTTTAAAAACTAACCTACAAAAAAATGGTTTCCTAGTTTTCTTTTCTAACCAGGTGCACAAAATTCATAAAATACTGTTATGGACATGACTGACTGCGTTACTCTACATCCTTTGCAAATTCCTTGCAGTGTGCTAAACTACAGAGACGAGATTTCCCCACAGCCTGGATTCCAGATATGAGTGAGATTCTTGAATCACTGGTAAGGGCTTATATTTAGGCAGCATGATTCCAAGTAGACAGCTACAGTGATAGCTTCTAGACGTGGTGATTTGTAGATCATAAGGCAGCAGCTTCCTTGGCAGGCCAGTCTGTAGTGTGGCTGAATCATTCTTAGGAACTCAGCTAGAATCTGTTCTTCAGCCCTCTCTGTGATGTTGCCACTTACGCTATACAACATATCACTTTAGGATTAAACCAGGCTAATGTTATCCTTAGTTCACTCCAGTAGATAAATGACTAAATCAAAAACCATGAATATTTGGCCATCATACCACATTAAACTAAACTAGACAACCATCTGGAATACCTAAAACTTATAAAATTGAGCTATATCAGGAAAATATGAGCTAATCTTTGAATTAACTAAAAGTAACTCACCTTGGTAAGAAATTACCTGTACACTAAGCTGTACAGTTCCATCTGTCTTTACTCCTTGGTCAAATAAACTTCTTTCTGGATCCAACTAAAACATGGTGAAATGAAGAAGATTATTTCAGCTCAATCATTAGACTAGGACCCCATTTCTGATTTAGTATAAATGGATGTACCAAACAGAACTTCATTATTGAAGCACACAAGTTATAAAACACATATAACTTCCAAGTTGTCACAACACTTAATTCTTTGCCAAAACTAAAAATATCTTAATCACTAAGGTAGTAATTAAGGGCAGCATAAACACCAAATTTATTTTAAGTGGCAGTTTTCTTTAGCTATGGAGTTTAGTTTGGGATCTTAAATAATATCAAAAGGTAATTATTCACTCCATAAAGGTATTTAAAGTAGAAAATAACATAATAATCTGTCATAAGAAAGCTAAAGTATTTAATTAGTGCTGACAATTTATTTAAATCTATTAGCATCTTCTTGTCATGATTCTTTTGTAACCAATGCCACATACTGAAGATCAGAGTTTACTCTAAATCTCTGATCACAGATAATAAAAATTTAAAAATTATCTTACTATTTGATGTAGCTAAGAATATTTTCATAACAATTCTTAATCCTTTCAGTATTAGTGGTTTTTTTCTTCATCTCTCCTTATAATAAATGCACTTCACAAAAAAGCAAACAGATGATAAAAAGTTATTCTGACTTTGGGCCAGCAGATGGTATAGTGGTTAAAACAATGGATTCCACATGGCAGACTCTACAGTTCGAGTTTGAGACCAGGTGGCTTGAAAAACATGCCAGTTGTGAGTATGTGTGCCTAAAATCCTAAGAGCAGGATGGAGGAGAAGGGATTACAGCATAGCCATTCACCCCTGAAGAGGTGATGTCTCACTTCTCTCCCCACCCCCACCCCCCCAACCCTCCGGCAATGCACACATACCCGGTTGGCAAGAATCCAAAAAGAGAAAAAAAAATAGTTATTTTGACTTCCAGACATTTACTGTCATTGGTTAAAAAACAGAAGATAATTTAAATTATCTTCAATAATTCTATCTCTTCAAGTCTGCATAGCTAAGAATACAAAGCTCCTCCTGTTCTCATTCCCTGTAACTAAGTCAGTATTGTAGTCCTGTTTCAAATAAATGTTTTTTCATTTTAATTTTTGTCAGAGGGCATATGTGATCACCAGAGAGAGACAGAGGGAGAAAAAGGAAGCATATCCCCCAGTGGTATACGGTCATACCATAATCCCTTCTCCACTTTCCTATCCTGTTGGAATTTTGGACATGCCAACACGTGTCTGGCATGTTTTTCAAGCTGCCAGGTCTGTGATTTTAACCATGTGGTGAGCCTTGTGAGACCCAGCTCCCTTAACTTCCAGGCTATGAGACTGGCCCCATATTTTCTAATATTAAAAAACCATATATGTAGGGAACCAGCAGTTAGCGTAATGGCTATGTCGCTGGACTCCCACATAGTCAATCGCGGTTCACATCCCGGACCCGGTGGCTTAAAACTCACACCAGGTGCGTGTGCGTGCGTGCCCAAGATCCCGAGAGGAGAATGGAGGAGAAGGGATTGAGGCGTGACCATCCCCCTTGGGGGGTGATTTCTTGCTTTCTGTCTCTATGTCTCTGTCTGTCTGTCGGGCGAGCACAGGTACCCTATAGCGAAAACCTCTCCAAAAAAAAAAAAGCCATATATGTAAAGCCTAATGTTAAGTGATTGTGCATCTAAATTGAACAGGAATGAGACAAACTGTAACCTTGTAGACAGGCCAAACATCACAGTTCCATTCCTTAATAAAAGTATCTGCCTGACATTTTGTTAAAAATTATGCTAGTATCAAGTTTTTCTCCTTGTCTAGTAGACACTGGTATTATCCACTAGAAGCTAAGACATGTATAACTCTGAAAGTTATACATTCAGGTACAGAATACACTAATTCACAAAGAGCTGGCACAAGGACAAAATTCAAGCATGGTATCTGATCTTGTGTCACGCTCTTCATAAAAGTACAACGCAGTCGTTGTTTCATCAGTTTTCAAGTCAGCACACATCCAAAACGACAAAAGTGCTACTATCATGACTGCAAGCATTCCAAGTCCAATTCACATTTATATTAATTAATACAAGAACAGAAGTTTCCATTCTCATATCCATTTTGAGGAAGGGAAGGTTCAGGAAAGAATGCAAAATGCCCTTAGATTCAAGGCTATCTCAGTTCTCTGACACTAAATTGTACAGATTTCCATTTATTGAACTATTATTTATTGAGACTCTATGATAGGTTCAGTTCTTTACAGGTCATACTTTGATTTTTGGATAGACCTGATATTATTAAACAAGCAACTCATGAGCTGAGAGATAACAAATAAAGTATTTTGAGTTATTCACTATAAACCTTTTAAAAGTCTGCCTCCCAACAAGTGAAGAGAGTTTTGAAGTCAAACAGACTTGAGTTAAAATTCCAAGGTGCCGTTTTATAGCTACATATTGGGTGAATTATTTAACTTTTTAAAATCTGTTTCCACATCTCTGAAATATGATTAAGAATATGCTGACTTCAAAGGCTGATGTGAAAACAAAAAAAGATAATTTAGAAGTTCTTTGCAGTTATTTTTTTCATTCAACATAACCTGCCTATATAGCTCTAGAGAGCTTTAGTTCACCAGTTTTTAATAGCTACCTTGAATTCCAATCTATGGAATTTATTTATTAAATCCTGTTTGAGGAACATTTGAGTTCTTTTCAGTTTTTGTACAAAAACAAACATCCTCATAGCTACATTTCTGCCTACTCAGGCGAACATTTCTGTAGAAACAATTCATTGAGAAGAACTGGGGAATTTCCCACATTTCTCATTAATAGATACTAAGTGCCAGATTATTTTCCAAATAGATTGTGCTAATTTATCAACTATTAAGAAAACTCTTCAGTTTAAAATCATAAAATAACCAGACCCACCTATATATTCTAGTTTTAGAAGAGCATTTTCCCTGTCACCAACTTCTACAAAACTTACATTAAAAGGAAAAGATTTAAGTATGGTTAAATGGCAACTAAAATGTTCAGATTTCATTACATTTCATCTTACTGTATATTAAAATCTTAAAAAAAAATAGAAGCAGCATGTGACAATTTAAGTTTTTAAAAACCCAAGGCAAAAGTTCTGTAACACCCGATTATCACACAGCAGGTGGCAGGGGAAGGAGGAAAGTAGGAGCAAAGAAAGAAACAACCAAATAATACAAAAGGCAACACAAAATGTATAATTATAGGTTAGTACCAAAACAAGTAAAAAAATAACTCTAGTACTTACTCATGTGTTTAAAGGAGGTCATGGGGAAACTACTGAAACAATCCTGTTTAGGCAACTACTTTGGATATATTAAAATACTACCTTTCACAAAGAGTACCATTAAATACAACTGTAAATATCCTTCAACTATATTGTTATAATACTGCTGCAAATAAAACCCCTGTTATAATAAATTCTAAGAAATATAAGTTGATTTTAAAATTCTAATCCAAAATTTACTGTCAGTGAAAATAAAGATGATAGAGTAAAAATCATTTAATCAAATGAGCTCTTCTTAAAGAAAAGAAAATGATGCAGACAGAAATGAAAAGTTTCCTAGGAACAGGGTGTAAGGACACATTTCTTCAGCTTTCAAGGTCAAAGTCCACTCTATATTTAAGTTATGCTTTCAACTTACTTAAATTTTTCATTCTGTATTTGTGAAAGAAAGTAAAAGATGAATGCTTAATTCAGTACTCAAATTTTAAAATAAAACTTTAAATGAAGGCAATTTTGCTAAAAAATTTTTTGCTCCGAAACATAATATAAGTCAAATCTACATTTGGAGATAAAGGCAATAGCTATAGAGATAAAAGGTTAACAAAAGAATTCATATTTTGCTGAAATATAAATCTCTAAATAAATAAATATAAAACGTTACCTGGATATCTTGCAGGCAAATTTCATGAGCATCTAAAGAACACTGTAGTCTTGGTTCAAGTAGTTTCTTCAAATTGCCTATTGGCTCATTGATGTCTATGGCCTGGCTTACACATTCAGCTGGGGTGTAGGTCTGTTCCACAATGCTAAATGTTAAAGGATATGAAGGTTAACAATAACACTCTTTACACTAGATATTAAAGTAATAATATGTTCAAAATAAAATTCAGTATCACCATATTTCTGGTCTTTGAAAACTCATTTCTACATAGATATTACAGTAGGTTCATCACCAAGTAGTGCTGCCGAACTGAACACATGATTTCATGGAAAAATGATAGCTTGAAATTTAAAGCACCTTTGAAAATATGCCTTATTATGTGTATGCATATATATGTGTGTGTGTAATATATACATTTAAATATTGCACACATGATTTTTATGGTGAAATGCTTGCATTTATATTACCTTTTAAAGTTATTTTGAAGAATTTTAGGCTCAGAGAGGAGAATAAAATGTCTATTCAAAATCTGTATACCCTATCTATTATCAATTTTCCTTTCTAACATGGATACAATTTAATATACTAAATTAATAAGTTGTAAAAATATGTTAAATAACTTACTTTGATTTTATCTGTACACTATTGCTTATAATCATCACAACTCTGCATTAAAAGAAAAGATTCATATTTTTCCTCAAAACCCTCTTTTGTATTGTTACTTTATAGTTTGAATTCTATGGAACAGTAAGTTCCTTTACACTTACAATCTTTGGTAAGTAATTCTACATATTTCTTGTTATTCTTTATATGGACCAAACAAAAGACAGACACTAGCACTATTTCCTATATTGAAGAATCTGAAATTTAACTATGTTTCACATGATAAACTTAAGTATGATTTAAATTCCATTTGCATTTGTCAAAACAGTATGTATTAAAAAATTTGTCAGGGGCGAGCAGGTGGTATGGTGGTTAGAGCACTAGGCCCACCACGGTTTGAGTCCCAGACCTGGCAGCTTGCTTTCTCACTTTCTCTCTCTCTCGTGAGCTCATGTAACCTATAGCAAATTTTAAAATAATAATAAAGAAAATTAAATAAATATTCTTACTTTATAGTTTGAATTCTATGGAACAGTAAGTTCCTTTACACTTACAATCTTTGGTAAGTAATTCTACATATTTCTTGTTATTCTTTATATGGACCAAACAAAAGACAGACACTAGCACTATTTCCTATATTGAAGAATCTGAAATTTAACTATGTTTCACATGATAAACTTAAGTATGATTTAAATTCCATTTGCATTTGTCAAAACAGTATGTATTAAAAAATTTGTCAGGGGCGAGCAGGTGGTATGGTGGTTAGAGCACTAGGCCCACCACGGTTTGAGTCCCAGACCTGGCAGCTTGCTTTCTCACTTTCTCTCTCTCTCGTGAGCTCATGTAACCTATAGCAAATTTTAAAATAATAATAAAGAAAATTAAATAAATATTCTTAAAAACAAACACAAAGACCCTGGGAGGTTTCATACAAAATTCTGAATTACTAACTTCTCTTGAAAAAAATGTAGATGATTTCACATCACTAGGCCTAAGTTCCTGCATAGTAACAATCTGCTCCAGCTGGGCGTTAACTACTAACTGCCTCCTTTATACAAGTCAACATAAGAACTACTGACTTCTTACCTAGATTTCCAGAAAAGGCCAGATCTAAACACTTTGGGCTCTGTGGACCATTTGTGCCAAGTATGCACAAATTTAAGGGCTCCCAGTGATCCTTACCTCCTAATATCTATCTACACCCTTTTATAGTTTCTTTTCACATGGTAAATGAGTTGACTGTGTCACCAAAAGACTAAGGCAGAAGAGATATATAATCACCTCATAGACAAGGACATTTAAACAGACACTGTGCCTTCCATTCTGGTAGTCTGTCTTTCAGACAAGGTTGCTTTAGGGGAAGCCAGAACAATGCCATTAAGCAGCCCCAGAGGGAAGCCCATGTACTAAAAAACTGAGAGGTGCTGCCAACAGTTTCATGCATGATCTGGTAAGCAGATACTCTAAACCCCAGTCAAGACTGCAAACTCATGAAAGATCCTGAGCCAAAACTACCTAAATAAACTGCTTCCAAGTTTCTGACCCTGAGAAACTACATGCAATAATAAATGCTGTTAAGTTTTTGAGTAATTTGTTATATAGATACACACACATACACACAGAAATCATGCATTCTCTCCTTCCTTCTGCTGGAGGAAAAAAACAAAAACAAAAACAAAAAAACAACATAATCAAACATTTTGAAAAGCTCTATTAAAAACTTAGGGGTTTTAGGGCCGGCAGGTGGCATGTTGGTTAAGGGCATTGGACTCCCACATGGCCAATTGCTGTTTGAGTCCCAGACCTGGCAGCTTACTTTCTCACTTTCCTTCTCTCTCTCTGTCCCTCTCTGGTCAAATTAAAAATAAATAAATACATAAAGTTAAATAAAATAATTCTTTAAAAAAAAAAAAAGGGACCAGCAGTTAGCACAATGGCTATGTCACTGGACTCCCACGTAGTCAACCGCTGTTTGCATCCTGGACCTGGGGCGCCGGCTGCGTGTGCGTGTATGCCCAATAATCTTCAAATAAAAGCAGAGAGGGCAAGTAGAAGAAGGAAGTAATATTCATAAGTAAAAACTCACGCTGGGCATGTGTGTTTGTGTGCCCAAAATCCCAAGAGGAGAATGGAGAAGGGATTGCGGCATGGGCATCCCCCCTGGGGCAGTGATTTCTTGCTTTCTGTCTCTGTCTCTGTCGGTCTGTCTGTCTGGCGAGCACATGCGCCCTATAGCAAAAAACTCTCCAAAAAAAATACAACTTAGGGGTTTTAATCTCACCTGTACTCTCAACACTCAGTATCCTACTCAGCCTTATTCTGCCTGGTCTCACTGTAGTTATTCTAAACTTTGTTACTCCACAGAGGTTCTCCACTATTGTTCAGTGCTTTTCACTTTCAGTGTATTATTTCATCTCCTGTTTTACAGCTTAAAATAGGGACCTGAGTGATTACCTTCCTTCTTGATGACTTTCAAATCTATATTTCTACCTATTTTACATTTTCTCCTTCGATTCTGAATTCATCACTGGTCTACTTTCAAATAAATAATATTCCATATTATTCCAAGAACTAACATCTTTTACCACACTTTATACTGAGTACAACACACGTAATTACTCATATACCTGTCTCAAGTATAATGTGGTTTCAGTAAGGATAGCTAAGTATCTCATTTACTCATATATTCTTGATAGTTACTAGTTTATAAGTAGTTACTTATAAATATTTGTTAAATTAGTTCAGGTTGAATTAAACACTTTCTGAAATAAAAATAACCATCACTGAGGAAAGAAATCAAGTAGTGGCCTAAGGGAACAAACTATTATAAACCAACTTCTGGATCATAAATTACACTTATTATTGACTTTAAGATTTTTTTTCCCTCTCAGCTACAAACCTAAATCTGAGTGGGGGGAAAAAGCACCATATTATCCCTTAAACTGCTGAGATCAGTTAAAAAGAAAAAGCCCCAAATAACCATGGCGTGATTCCCGATTTTAACTAGATATATAATATAAAATGTGATTAATTTCAGAATATACCAACCTTTCTTCTGTGCACTCTGGTTTCTCTGTTCCATCAATCTCAATTTCTATTAACTCCTCTGCTTCTCTTTTAGTCATGGTTGAAATACTTCAAAAAATCCGTCCTGTAAGAGTTAAAGACTTAGAAACTATCTGCATAAATAGAACTGACATGTAAGAAGAGACAGAATTCAAATAAAAGCAGGGAGGGTAAACAGAAGGACGTAATCTTCATAAGTAAATCTATGCGATTCAAATGACATTTATAAACTAGTTTTTGTTTGAATGCTATTTAAATTAACCTAAGACAATTTCATCATTGTTACTGGATTTATTGAAATTTTTCCCAATCTCTGTCAATAAATAAATTCAAATTACTTCAAAATCAAGTGAAGGCTAAAACTTGTACCTTTTTAGCAGAATTTACTTGAAAGCACTATAGTGATAGAATGATATAAATTAATCATAGCTAGGATTTGTTTTACAATTTGTATCTTATAAATCCAAGTACACTATTCTAAAACAGCAAAGCAACAAACTATAGATATGCACACTATCACATTGCTTACACACTAAATTTTTTTTATTTTTTCAGATGTGGTTTTATTTTAAACAAACCACTACTTCAGTTTCAATGATCTCATGTAAAATTACTTACTGCTTTAAATGGCCATTGATTAAAAATAAATCATTATAATTTTTAAAATGCTAAGTAATGCATAAACAGCTACATAAGAGAAAGTCTATAGAAAGTATGAGAAAAAAAAAACTGCACATGGACTTCAGGGGTTTTTTTGGCACCAAAATAAACTTGTACTTTAATTCTTTTACATCAAATTTTTTCAAGTCCCCTTGAATAGTGGTATTTTTCTGTAGCCATTTTCAAGGTATTAATGCTGAAAATTCCAGATTCTATTATTAACTACCTCGCTGTAGGTCAATGAATTAGTATTTGGACTTCATATCTAGTCTTAGTCCACAGCACCCTTAAAGTTTTCTAAGTTTACTATCACATCTAAAAAAGGTGTGTATGTCATTTATGAGGACTGTTACCCTAAATTTGGTATTCCATCATGTGCAAAGAATCCATGCTTCTCTAAGACTTGACAAAATGAAGAATTCACAAATTCACCCTTACTGACAATAAGCATTTACTGAGGCCAGGCACTGCATTCAAATGCTTTACACAGAACAATCTTATTTTGAGCCCATGCTTACATGAACACGATCTAGAGGTTAGCAAGGCTGAGCTCCCTATGGCTCCATAATGTCACACTTCCAAGTGTACTGTATCAATATAAGTGGGGCTGAACCATGGGTTATTCAGAGACACGCTCTGTCTTACATATACTAGTACAGGAGCCCCCATGATCTCTTACCTGGAATACTGCCAATGTTCCTAACAAGGTTCCCTGTGTCCACTCTCGCTCCTCTACAGTCTATTCTCAGTCACACGAGTCAGTGTTATCTTTTTTAAAACTAGAATCAGATCAGAATAATTCTTCAACAGGTAAGTCACAGTAAAATCTAAAGACTACAATGGCCAACAAGGTCCTACATGATCAACCCTCCACCCCACCCCATAATCACTGACTCTCTATCTCACAGATGCTTAACCTTGCGTAGTCCTCTCCTATAGCCTTTGGCCTTACTGTTCAGTCTGCCTGTAACCTACCTCCCCTTAAAATCCTGTTGACCAAATCCCTTGGCTCTGAAGTGTCTACTGGAATCTCACCCTTCCAGAAGACATTCCTTATCCACCTTCATTTAATTCTGTAATTTGTCTCTTATCTCTTCATTCTTTCCTTATTTGTAGCACTTGCCCTTTATATATTATGTCATTAGTTTATTATATTTACTGTCTTCCTCTATTCAATTGTCACCAAAGTGTAAAGATCAAAACTATCCAAAAGTGACCATAGGAACTTTTTTTTTTTTTTTAGTTTTTGCTATAGGGTGCATATGCTTGCCAGAGAGAGATAAAAGGGAGAGTGAGAAACCACCCTTCCCCACCCCCCCCGGGGGGATGGGCATACTGCAATCCCTTCTCTAAGGGTTTCGGGCACAGGTGCATGACCTGACTGATTATTCAAGCCTCCAAGTGAACTAGTGAACTATTCCAGCTTCTTGAAGTGGGAGGGACCTTACCAGTCTAAATTCATCAAGGAACTGAGGTCTCTACAGTAGAAAGAAAAATAACACAGGCGGTCAGCAGGTGACATGGTAGTTAAGGCACTGACTTCCCCCATGGCAAACTGCACTTTGAGTCTGATCAGGAGGCTTGAAAATCACAGGAGGTGCATGGGCATACATGCCCCAAATCCTGAGAGAAGAATGGAGGACAAGGGATTGTGGTGTGGCCATCCCCCCGGGGAATGATCTCTCTCTCTCTCTCTCTCTTCCCTCTCCCTCCCACCCCACTCCCCCCAAAATTAAAATAAAGTCACAGAATCTGTGGATATGTTAGGATACAAGACAAAATGGAACTAAAGGTGCAGAAGTATTTAATGTTGCTAATTGGGAGATCTAAAAATACAGATGTTATCCTGGATTATCTAGGTGGGTCCAATAACAATCACATGGGTCATTATGAGTGGAAGGAGTATGTCAGAATGATTCAAATATAAGACAGACTCCACTGCTCAGCTGTGACTGGCCTGAAGATGGAGTAAAGGAGTAACACGTTAAGGAATGAAGTAGAGCTTAAAAGAGAGAAAAGGAGCAGATTCTCTCTAAGAGGTTCTAGGCCAGGCACAGCCCTCCCCAAACCTGATTTTAGCCAAGAGAGACCTATTTCAGACTTCTTATTTCCAGAAATTTAAGACAATAAATTGGTGCTTTTGAGCCACTCTAATTGCAGTAATTTATTACATTAGCTCTAGGATACCCATATAATCTCCCTTTCCACTTTACAAAAGGCTGTAACACTCTTCAAGTCCCAACATTTCCAACTACTGCGTAGCTGCCTTTTTTTTTTTTTTTTTTTTTTTGAGAGAGAGAGAGAGATTTTTGCTATAGGGCACGTGTGTTTGCTAGAAAAAGAGAGACAAAGCAAGAAATCACCCCTGCGCACACAGGGAGGATGGCCACACCACAATCCCTTCTCCTCTATATCCTCTTGGGATTTTGGGCACACACACATGCCTGGCGTGAGTTTTAAGCTGCCAGATCTGGGACTTAAACCACAGTCAACCATGTGGGAGTCCTGGAACTGGAGACTTGTTTTCCTCACTTCCCCTCTGTTTGTCTCTCTCTGGTCAAATTTAAAAATAATAATAATAAATAAGATTTAATAAAGTCGTTCTTTAAAAAAAAAAACCTGTTCCTTAATTGGTGATGTGTAAAATTGGGGAATTCATCCCAATGCTAGCACAAAACAGGTGGTGACTCAGTAGGGAATTACTTCATAGAAGGATAAGTTTCACAAGGGCAGGGATATTTGCTCACAGATGTATACAAAGTATGTTGAGCACTGCTTCACCCTTAATAGGCACTCAATTACTATATGCTGGATAAATGACTATTTCATTCCATACAAACTGAACTCGAGGTGCCTTAAACATTTAAACTGTAAAACTAATATGAAAAAAGTGGTAGGGACTTTTTATGGGTTAAGGATGAAGCAAGCAAGACTCCATCTTGGAGGAGCGTCTTCATTATAAACTGTTAAATTCCTATGACTAATAACTCAGGGATGACAGCAGCTACAGGATAACCTGAAAACCTTGGGTGGGTTAGTAATTTGAATAGATTAGTACCTTGAATGGATTAGTACCTTGAATGGACTGGTACCTTGAATAGATTAGATCTCCTGCTTCTCTGACTACTCCCTTTGACGCTGTGTATGGCAGGATCTGAGCCCAATCTCTACCCCCTAGACCGCCCATTCCCCAATTCCCCCATCAAAGACTATGTCTAACCCCCAATGGGGCAGGAGATTTTGAGTGTTAACTCCTCCACACCCACTGACATAATAAACAGTTCTCCTAATCTCTGCCAGTGCTGCTTTCCATTCCTCAGTGTCTGGTTTTCTTCAACAAGGAGAGAAAAGGATATCTTGGCACCAGCAGATGGCACAGTGGTTATGTCACTGGACTCCCACATAGCCAACTGTGGTTCAAGTCTTGGACAGGGTGGTTTGAAACTCACTCTGGGTATATGTGAGTGCATACACAAGATTCTGGGAGGAGAATGGAGAAGGGACTATGCTGTCGCTACCTCCCCTGGGGAGTAATTTCACTTTCCCTCTCAATGTCTACATTTCCACCTCCGGCTTGGCTCCCTTTTTTTTTTTTTTTTTTTTTTGAGAGAGAGAGAGAGATTTTTGCTATAGGGCACGTGTGTTTGCTAGAAAAAGAGAGACAAAGCAAGAAATCACCCCTGCGCACACAGGGAGGATGGCCACACCACAATCCCTTCTCCTCTATATCCTCTTGGGATTTTGGGCACACACACATGCCTGGCGTGAGTTTTAAGCTGCCAGATCTGGGACTTAAACCACAGTCAACCATGTGGGAGTCCTGGAACTGGAGACTTGTTTTCCTCACTTCCCCTCTGTTTGTCTCTCTCTGGTCAAATTTAAAAATAATAATAATAAATAAGATTTAATAAAGTCGTTCTTTAAAAAAAAAAACCTGTTCCTTAATTGGTGATGTGTAAAATTGGGGAATTCATCCCAATGCTAGCACAAAACAGGTGGTGACTCAGTAGGGAATTACTTCATAGAAGGATAAGTTTCACAAGGGCAGGGATATTTGCTCACAGATGTATACAAAGTATGTTGAGCACTGCTTCACCCTTAATAGGCACTCAATTACTATATGCTGGATAAATGACTATTTCATTCCATACAAACTGAACTCGAGGTGCCTTAAACATTTAAACTGTAAAACTAATATGAAAAAAGTGGTAGGGACTTTTTATGGGTTAAGGATGAAGCAAGCAAGACTCCATCTTGGAGGAGCGTCTTCATTATAAACTGTTAAATTCCTATGACTAATAACTCAGGGATGACAGCAGCTACAGGATAACCTGAAAACCTTGGGTGGGTTAGTAATTTGAATAGATTAGTACCTTGAATGGATTAGTACCTTGAATGGACTGGTACCTTGAATAGATTAGATCT